ACAATAACAATATTGGCAGAGGGGTTAAGAGAGAGGGCATGGTCAATTTGATCAGAGATAACATCTAAAAGAGTGCAATCATGAGAAGAAGGAGAACGATAAAGAACAAAGAGAAAGGTGATAAAGTGAAGAGGTGCTAGGCGAAAGCACATAAAAGAATGGTCAAAGGATTCGAACCTGATCTCACGACAAATAGGGGAATTAATGCGTATGTATACCCCTAAACCTAGCATGTGACTATTGGAGTCTTTAAGAGTCAAAGGATAGTACCCATCAACACTGACATCTGAAGAAGGAATTGCAGAATTTAAATTTGTTTCACTGAGTGCAAGCAAGTCTGGTGAATTTTGCAAGAGGTAAGACTCAACTGACGGAAAGTTGCTTCGTAGACCGCGAATATTTGTATAAGATATATTAAAACATTTAGGTGGTGGGGATGGTTTTTTAGGTTTAAAATTTTTGGGTACTTTGGTCATGATTTGGGTTTAATGAGAACTTGACTCATTCATAGATAGAGCACAGCCTCCTAATCAATGAGCTATGCAGTTGTCTCAGTCCTGTTAATTAACCCTAAGCCGTGACATAGGGCTCCTTATGTGGCCTTGACAATGCACACCAAAAGCATTAACAGGGACACCATCCATGCGCAACATGGCACTGTTAATACTCTGATATTTTGCAGCTGTTGATGGAATCAGCCTCTCTGAGAGCTACCACAGAGTTCGGAAAACCTTACTACCAGCCGGCCTCAGAACCATTAAACTGAGTTTTAGAACTGTACCCTCATATGGAGATAACAGGAAGAGTTTCATAGCCATTATCAAGGAGGCATAAGCAAAATTCTATGAGTAGAGTCAAGGAGATCCAGCATTCATCATCCTAGGCAGGAAACAATGTAACACAGGTTACATCTACGCCAGCTTAATAGATAAAGAAGGGGTTCGAGGCTGGTTAGCAGAATTTTTCTGCTTACCCCTAAAGTCTTTGCCTTGGAGGCTTTCTACAAGACAGTAGCTGGATGCAGTTAACATCTGCTTAAGATGAGTATTTTTATCAAGACACCATCTCTAGCCTTTACTTAATCAAGAGCTCCAAGGCAGAGGATTTTTAGCTGGATGCAGTTAACATCTGCCCAAGATGAGTGTTTTTATCGAGACACCATCTCTAGCCTTTACTCAACCAAGAGCAGGGGAATTTTTAGTCGGAGTTTTTAGTCTTTACTCAACCAAGGCAGGGGAATTTTTAGTCGGAGTTTTATTCTCCTAGCCTTTGCCTAAGAAGAGCACACTCTGAAAGGCAACAGGGCTTATGGCAGGTGGTACTGGGTTACGTGATACCCGTAGCAATATTGATCTTGATTATCCTGACCTGACCTGGATTATCCTGACCTGACCTGGATATTTTTTATTTTATTATATATATATTATTATTATTATATTATATATATATTATTTATATAAATATTATTATTAATGTATTTTTAAAATATAAAATGCCGTAAGTGTAATGTAAAAATAAAAATTAATAAACAAAAGTTTTATGAAGGTGGACCAAATATAAATTAAGTCGTGTAAAATGTCATGCATTGATAGTACTGAACTGCCATCAGGCAATGTAATACTATTAATAGAATGCATTTTGCTGGAGATTTTTTTCTTCTTTGTTCTTTGTTACAAACTATACAATTAATTAAAACAGAAATTATAGATAATAATTTCGTTAAAATAATAATAACTTAAAAAAATGCGAAAACTTATAGAAACCCGCGAGGACATCAGATGTTAACAAGGCCAAAAATAGCAAGGCCAAGGCCACATGCTACAAGGCTAAGACCAAGGCTAAAAGTTCCAAGGCCAATATTTTAATGTTAAGGCTAAGAACAAAAGTTTCAAGGCTAAGGCCTATGAAAAGATTTTCAAGACCAAGGACAAAAATTTTTGTCTTACACCAAGGCCAATTATTACCAAAACTGTAGGTAGCTAGTGCTGTGACAACAAAACCACATGTTGGAAAAATAGAGCAAGGTTATGCGCAGAATTCAACAAAGTCAATAAGGAAATATACTTGTAGATATAAATGAAAGCCGAAAACAAAAATACTTAACAATTAAGAATAAAAACTTTTAATTCTTTAATTTTATGTTGCTTTTTTTTGAAGGCTAAGATCAAAACAATTAAGGCCAAGGCCAGTTACAAGGCCAAGATTCAAGGCTAAGACCAAGGCCAAGGCTTTAATTTTTGGTCTTAAGGCAAGACCAAAGCCAAGGACAATATTGTCTTTTAATACTTTTTAATGTGCTTAGGGATCTTTTTGCAGTTGCCACGAAAACGGCTAATAGCAAATATAGTATGAGTGCTGCAATTTTATTTGTTGATGAGCAACTCATATCACAATATTTTAATGTGGGCACGGGTAAAATATTCCAGAAGTTACACTCGGTATGTCGTTTAGGTTGAAAGTATTAATACCATCATTATATTCCACT